TTCGTAAGGGAGTGCCAAAACTCGAATGCCACTAGTGAGCAAAACTTTTATTAATAAATCATGAATTTGCATTACTTTTGAAAACTGAGAGTAGCTTTTTAAATACACAAACCATTCTAAACTTACATACACATAGGATGCATTCAATCAGTATTTATAAACCGCACTATAAGAAAAAGTCTAACTTGCGCAACCTAGTTGAAAACTAATATCTAACCGTGGTTGCGCACATTTGGCATTACAATCTACTGAGGTTAACCGTTTTTTTTTTACAAATTTTTGGGCTGTTTTTTTTTGGAATCGTGATTTTTCGAATATCGAATAAACCGGGTTTTCCATATAGAATATTAATGCAACTTCATCTTAAAATTCTTTGCACATGTATTTTAAGGAAATCACAAAAATAACTTTTCTACCAATTTTGCTCTTAAACACAATCAAGTTCCCTTCACAGATTCGTTTGCTTTGCAATCAAGATCAACAGATCATTCTGAATCAACTACAGAACATTTCGTTTGGCTGCATTCGCGTTTAAAACAAGTGCTTGAATACCCTTAAGGAATAAAAGAGACTGATGCTTTGTATTTTGACGTTTTCGAATGCACCCATACTCATAATGTTTGTGATTGGTTTAAATTATAACAAAATTACCAAAGAGGTACTCCCTGATAAATTATGCTGTATTTTTGTTACTTAACACTTCTAGGAAAACTTCGAATCTCCTGAATTATTATATTATATGCATATAAAACTAATAAACTTAACTCAAAACTTGTTCAACGGCTCTTTCAAATAATTAACGGCATTAAGTACATATAATTTTCCCTTGAGTTATATTACGTTCAAATTGGCCCCATTCAACTTGTTAAATGAAAAAGAGCTTTTTGGAAAACACAATCGTCCACATTGCACATTTGAAGTTAACTTTGGCGGTTTGATTACCAATAAAAATTAAAAAAAAAAGATATTAACAATCACGTTTTTGTGTTTCAATTTGTTTTGTGCGAATGTCTGCTTCATGATATTAACGCATACGGATTACTTAGAGACATCAAAATGTTTAGTTCGTATGCACTATTTATCTCTGCGTACGATGAGACTTCATGGGAAATAACTAATTACCGGCTTGGCCTCTTTTTTGGCGGGCAGACATGCATACAGTTTTGATATTTTTTGATAATTTTTAATTTTTTATATTTTTCAGAATATAAATTTTTTTAACGTTGGCGTGTCAAATGAAAGCTTTTGGGTCTTTCTGATTGGCCGGAACCGAAAGCTTTCCGATACAACTCTGCGTTGAACTGGTTTTCAAGCGAGTTAAATGATTTAACTGGTTAAATTTTCCAACAACAATTGCATGCGATTTAACTTGTTTATGAACGTGTTTTGTTCATTTAACTGGTTCAAGCCCATTTAACATGTTTAGCTCGTCAATTTGAACGTAGTATTACATCGCTTCTTTCAACTTAATTCGCTATTTAATTTGAATGCTCATTCCTGAAACTTATGTTAGTTCGTTTTTGTTACACATTGATTTGAAATGCCTCCCGTTGTAACTTCTGATTTCCCCGCACCCGTGGTGAAGTTTGTGTTTTTGATTTGTCGTTGATGTCTGAAAAACGCGCCGGGGGATTTATGTGATCCTGATAATTTGGAGGATAGTTGGATATGCTGATTTGTAACAAAAGAAAAAAAAATTAATTTATGAAGATTGCGAGTATAATTTCTTACCTAAACGTAGTTTCTTCGTTGTGACTCGAATAACCGCTGGAACTGCGAACATGACGTTTGCCACTGGTGCCGGACTTGCCGCCTTTACGTGCCACAAATGGTGGTTTCGATTTTCTCGTCAAACTTGTCGGCGTAGTCTCTGATGATGAAGATGTTTCGTCTTGCGTATCTATTTATTCAAATAGTAAATTTTTTTAAAATAATATGCCAATGTTAGGGGCGTCCTTATTTTGATCTTGCGCATATGAAAGTATGTACCTTTCGTTGTCAACTTTTTCGAAAGGAGGATACAACGAAATTAATGTTAACATATTTTTAGAATTCCAAGTTTAATTTTGGCGAAAAATATTTAGTAACTTTATTGCTGGAGGAAGTCAAGATTTTGATAACAGTTGTATGCCTTTTCGACGGGCTTCATGATCTTTATTGGACGACTTTTGCTTTAGATCATAATAAACTAGACATCTTTACATTTTCATTTTTCCATCATATTTCAATCTTATTTTATTATAATTTTTTTACCAAAACTAATTGTTATACGTGACTATTTAATTTTTCGATAATTTTTACTCGTAGTATTTAGACTCAGTTGTTCGATCATACTAGCATTGAAAAACATGGAGCTCTTGGGCTAAAGCTTAGGTTTCCTCGAAAGCGGTAACGTAAACAGCGGTTCTAACTTTACATTGTCAAAAACGTTGCCATGTATACAGGGTGTCCCAGAAGTAACGTGCCAAACTTTAGAGGAAGGTAGGTTGGGGGGGGTGGGGGGTGAGCTCTCGGATAAACAAAAAATTGTCAGGTAATTGTTACCGTTTTTAAAATATTTACATTTTTTATAATTAAAAAACATGCCTTTTCATGTATTTTCTTTAACTGCATCTACAAACCAGGCTATACTTAGTAAATTTTTTATGTAAAATACCTCCAGATAGTTGCTTCTCCATACTCAAATGCAATTTAGTTAAAATATATTAAGGAACCTTCATAAAATTAGGACTATTTTGAGATTTTTAACTTTTTGATGTTTTCTTCCCCAACTTTGACAATCTCTGGTGAAAAAAATGTACTGAGCTATAACTTTACATTACATAAAAAATGCTCATTTAATAAAGATTTCAGAAAGGTGCCACTCTTACTGTTTCGAATAGAAAAAAAAGTTATAGCCGCTTTTGTGGGCAAAGGACTGAGACTCGCTAGAATGTATTTAATAGATTTAAATTTAAGTTGGTCTTGTTACCGACCAATGGCATGCTAAATAGTACAAAGGTACATTATTACCTGCTCCTGACATTATTTTATGTTACTTACCGGAATTAGTGAAATTAGGCCCTTCGAAAATTGTGTTATTAATACTATGACAGAGAACACGCAGTATACGTCGCATGAATTTGCGGATATTCACCTAATTTACGGTGAAGCTTGCTGTAATGCCAGAGCTGCTCAAAGACTCTATGCATAGCGATATCCCAATCGTCGGCATCCGGGTCGTGAAGTATTCGCCCGGACCCATAGAGAAATATATGAAGGTAAGTGATTTTTACACCTTTCCTGTTTGCTTGCTTGTTAACTATCATTTTTCACTTTTTTAAGGTCGCATACCTGGAAGGCGTGGCAGCTAAACAGGATGTCCTGCAACGGTAGATGTTGAAGTTGTGTTAGAGGGAGTGGAACTAGGTCCATCGACTTGAGTGAGAATGATGGAAAGAAGGACGGGAATACCAAAAACTACAGTTCACAACCACATTCAACGTGTTCAGGCTCTACAAGAAAGAGATTACCTGTCGAGGGTTAGATTATGCCGTGAAATGTTGCGAATGCATGAATCAAACCGCAACTTTTTTAATAAAATAATTTGGAGCGATGAATCATCATGCAAACGTGATGGTTATTTTAATTTACATAGCCTGCACAGTTGGCAGATAGACGATCCTTACGAAATGAGAGAAGATCATTCGCAGTACCGGTACAAAATAAATTTATGGTGCGGTATTTTTAATTGTCCGATATTGGGACCTGTGGAACTGCCGCCAACGCTCAACTCTCACAGTTATTTAGAGTTCCTTCAGGAACGGCTTCCAACTCTTTTAGAAGATGTACCCTTAAACCTGCGGCGAAGACTATGGCTGCAAAATGACGGGTGCCCTGCTCACTACGGGCGTGAATTAAGAGCTCGCCGATGGATTGGACGATACGGGCCAATCACGTGGCCCGCTCGATCGCCAGACCTGAATCCATTAGATTTTTTCTACTGGGGCTGTCTTAAGGACAAAATTTATTCAAAAACAATTCAAAACGAAAATGCTCTTCGGCGGGAACAAATAAATGGAGCCACTCGAGTCGGGCGCGCACGCTGGCAAATAAAAATTCATTCCGACCAAACTATATCGAAATGCACGCATTTTTTTTCATAGTTAAGTTCAGAAATGTTTATTACATAAGTAATTGTTAAAAATTTTCGTCCACGAGGCGCAGAAATTGTTTAAAAGCTAAATTTTTCATAAAAAATTTATTGCAAAGCAAAAAAAATATATTTTTGTAACGCAAATATTTTCATTGTATAGTTTAATGTTTCGTAAATCTGCACTTAAAAAATTTTTTCATTCGGACACTTACTTTCAAAAAAAAATAAAAATTTCCGAAACACTGCAAAAATTTACAATCGTTGATTAAAAAAAAAATATTTGGAATTTTGCAACAAAAATTACACAGTGTACTGTTCGACTACAAAACTCGGCGCTGCCTGAATATCATTGAAAAATATTAATGTTGGTAAATTCGGTGCCCACTTGTGGAAGCCTTACCCATCTATCAAATACATTATAGCGTGTCTCAGTCGTTTGCCCACAAAAGCGGCTATAACTTTTTTTTTCTATGTGAAACAGTAAGAGTGGCACCTTTCTGAAATCTTTATTAAATGAGCAATTTTTTTTATGTAATGTAAAGTTATAGCTCAGTACATTTTTTTTCGGCCGAGATAGTCAAAGTTGGGGAAGAAAATATCAAGGAGGTAAAAATCCCAAAATAGTCCTAATATTATGATGGTTCCTCAATATATTTTAACTACATTGCATTTGAGTATGTAGAAGCAACTATCTGGAAGTATTTTACATAAAAAGTTTACTATGTATAGCCTGGTTTGTAGCTGCAGTTAAAGAAAGTACATGAAAAGGCACGATTTTTTTTAATTCAAAAAAATTTAAATATTTCAAAAACGGTGACAGTTTTATCTGAAAATTTTTTGTTTATCAGAGAGCTTATACGTTAATTTCACTTTACATAAAAGCGGTACTGCTATTAGCGTTGAGAATAGAGTTCGGTAAGGTACGGACGTAATATTACGGCACCGTTTTCGGAGGAAACCAAAGCTTTAGGCAGCCCCAAAATAATTAAGTCATACCTATGATGGTGCTTTTCGCGGAAATTTTAATTATCAAGATCCAAGATTCAAGTTGACATATGCACATATGTAGTTAGTACGTACATACAGTGATGTGTAAAATATTAAGACCACAAAAAAGGTCTTTTGAATATTGACTATTGAATATTGACTGCTTACTCATTACCAGGGAACGGATTTTCAGGAGCTAAAAACCTATAAAAAAGGCAAAATAAAATAACGAGATCGGCTAGAAATGGTAAAATCAAATAGCGAAATAGGTAGGAAAAGGCACTAGAAATTGCAAAAAAAAGGCAAAAGAAAGCACTTAAAAAAGACAAAAACCGAAAAATAATCAAAAAATACATATATTTATTTTAAAAATGTTTATTTCACAAGTAAAAAGAGAAAAACTATGAACTAGTTTCATTGTATGCAAAACTTGTACTTTGAACCTTTGACTTTTTTCTCTTTTCGAGTTTTTAACTCACGAAACTTTAATCTCTATAGTTGTAGTAGCATTGAATCACAAGATGCATTTTGAAGTTTTCTGGCAGCATTTTTATTAGATTTTCACGAAGAAAAGCGTTGAATGTACTAAACGTGCGCTCGGCGTGAGTTGATACAAGTGGCGTCCAATTTAAATTTGGAACGTTTAAAACTTTCATATTATCAGGAATAAGGACTTTTTCCTTGCCCTTTTAAATTAAAGTTAGAAAAGGCAAAAAAGGCAAATATCTTAAAAAAAGCAACATCAAATGTGTATATATGGAATCAGGTAAAGCTATGTAAATCATGGACATTCTTAATCGAATATACTCTATCTCTTTAGCAGAAAAAAAGGCAATTTGCATAAAATCCGTTCCCTGCTCATTAAAGAACCCACAGTTGTGAAAGGGACAACTTAAAACTAACAGCTTCTTTGATCAATCAACCAACAACACTAATTTTAATTCAATTTATCTACTATAAAGATATTCTATTTATAGTTTATTTTCTTCCGGGGTATACTTCCTTAATCTTAAATTTTTCGAATCAAAGTTATTGTATAATTTTTAATATGATTGGGAATTTGTTGTGCATACTTACTTAAGGAATACATCGGCATTATAAATACTTCTGAATTTTCATTACACAAAAAAATTTTTATTAAGTATTATTATAATATATACTGCATATTCTGGAAGTTCAAAGTAACCATCAGGAATTTGCTGGGCAGTCTCAATATTCTACACATGACTGTACATATATAAAAATACGTACAACTAAAATCAACTAGACCTTGGCATGTTTTCCAAACACATTCAGAAAATATCTGACTTACGCAGATGAACTAAATTTTAAATCCAAAATCACATAAAATATTAACACATATAAGAAACGCCCCTATACGATTTGAAGAATATAAGAGAACATTTATCATTACCACGTTGAGTACGGTACTTCGTTGAGTTCA